TTTTAAAAATAATTAAATTCACTTAGCATTCAAAACTTGCGAATTTTGAAAAAAACAAATTTGCTGATTAAATACGGACAACCGTTTAACTAAAGTAAAACGGGTTTTCCCCTTGCTATGGATGTCTGCCTAGTTCAGTTCAGCTACATTCCGCTACAGTTCGCCTTTATTATCAGTTCAAAATGGGGTGGTTCCATAATACCCGCAGTGTTCCATAATACCACCTTCTCCTCTATTATTTTTCGTTAAATTCCTTTAATTAATAAACAAGTATTTAAATTTTATTTCCAAACATAGTTTTAAGTAATGATATAATTAAGAATTATCTAATTTTGTTTGTTCGATTTATAACTAATTTTAAAAGAAATGTTCTTCCTTAAAAAGCATCAATATCAAATTCGAAATTCTCTTTCATACAAGCTATGAAAGCTTCGGGATCTTTAGAATGTTGTTCAAATATTTCTTCCGCCTTTTCCATAAATTCTATCGACTTTTCATCGTTGTATAAAGACTTGTCTTCATTACAATTTTTAATTGATTTCTCGTATAATTTTACATATTCTTCGTTCCTTCGGAAGAATTCTTCATTAGCTTTAAGCATTTTATTATTTTCAGTCGGGTCGAAAAATGGCAAATTTCCACCGACTTCTGAAGGAAGACGATCTGGACTGATGAAGTCGGCCAAAGATTTCACATCAGAATGTATATAGATCTGAAATTTACATTACATATATTCAATTATATATTATGCTTACGGGCAAAAATGAAATTACTCAGCTGTTATGAAAAATTAAAACAAATTAAAATAATAGAGAGCCTAAATTAAAATATTATTAATCATTCTTTTATATATTAATAACAAAATTGAAAATGCTCACCCTCTTCTTGGTTTCTTCTGGTAGAAGTGGAATGAAAACGCTTAATAAAGCTTTGAATATGACATTCACGTTCACATAATGTATTGCTCTGAATTGTAAAGGATAAGACCTTCCCTGTTTGAAAAAATATTGAAAACATTGTTAAAATATTTAGTATGTTATCATTAGTTATTGTTCTCAATACAATTTCTTTATTATTTAAGTACTTTTAATTATCTCTTCAGTTATGCAAAGCTATATAAACAATAGCATAACAGAAATTCAGATACGCATTATAATAACTAATACATTATAATATTTAAGTCATTAATACGAATGTATTAATTTCAAATCAGCATCACTTATCTGCATAATTAATAAACCCCATCAAAATAATACTCTATATCAGAAGTGGTAATCATTTTAAGTATGTGTATCGCTAAATCTGTGATGTAAAATTTTCACAATTTGCTGTATGTATAGTATTTTCTCTATATTTATAATATACATATTACACATAAAGAAGAAAAAACGTGAATATTTTCTGGCCTGTCCAGACGTATCAAGGTCCCCATAGTTAAAAATATGGTAAAAAACTTGGATGTGATTTTATGACCGATTGCCATACTTACCCTCTGTTATATATAACAGCGCTGGTATAGAAGATGGGTGTGAACTGCTGGAGTAAACAGGTTCAAGATAGAGAGGAATGGATAAATATCCTGGATGAGGGCAATGAGGACTATGAGGGCCAGAGAGAAGAAGAAGTTATAGAAGATGTAAATAAGAATAAAGGGCAGTAATGGTTATCTAAAAAAATCTGATAAACTGCATAGGAAGGTTTATGTAATTAACAGGCAATACCGGATTTTATTAGAATTTAAAGTTTATATAAATATATATTTTTATAAGTAAACGTTGTTCTGAATCATTACTCTTCCTTATATTACTGATATAATTATCTTATACAATGCATTATTGTTGTAAATCAGGAAAATAAAGAGCAAATTTGTGTATTACAATTTATATTATTTAATCATCTAATTGGGCTGCAATTTCCAAAAAATAAATACAGTCGACCCTGTTAACACTGTTGATTATTCCGTTTTATATGAATTCCATGTTGTATGAGTCACTTAGATTTTACAAATATGTGAGCCATTCACAGCCGTGCACTCGTATTTGTAAAATCTAAGTGACTCGTACAACATGGAATTCATATAAAACGGAATAATCAACAATGTTATGGGGGTCGACTGTAAATAAATATAGACCTATAAATTCCCACTGTCTCCGTCTTTCTGTCTGTCCGTTCTTAATATCGAGAACGGAGTTAGACAGATAAAACTCGTGACCGGATTTCAATAGCAGTCAAAGCTTTTTACAAACTCCTGCCTGTAAACTTTGGAAATCTTAAAGGCATGAATCCCGATAAACCAAATACGATTATTTCAATTCAAAAATTGTCAAGTGAAAGAGTAAGCTAGATGATCGGCACGACTCTATTATTAGGAAATGCATGGTATACAGGAGCAAAACACGATTAATTTGAGGTGAAAAACATTTATTTTAACTTAAATAAATTAAAAACATAATTGAAAATTGCAGNCGAAAGAAGTTAAAGAGTTAATGAAGATTTTATTCGTTATTATTACATTTACAGTTTCTCATAAAACTCATCACCCTTAAAATTAATCTTTTTGCTATTTTATAATAGTTAACAAAAATGTTAATAAAATATCATAACAGATGGCATCACCAAATGTTGATGGGAAAGCTAAGCAACTCGTTGCTCGATTTTATTTTTTTACAGTTTCACACACCTATAAATGAAGACATTTATTTAGTGAAATTTATCGTATATGCCTGTGTTTTACTGTATATGTTTTTTGGAGACTTCCTGTAACGAAGAAATGAAAGCGTAAACACTAGACTAGGGCGTATAATACTGTTCTATCACCTGGATAAAATGGCATCGGATTACAAAACAAAATAAATATAGTCTACTTATATTAAGTTACACATGTTTATTAAAGTAACTGAAGCTTGTACGACACTTTGAGTTACAACGCTCGTTCCTTGTAAAGGACAGTTCTACATTTTCCTACCGTATACATCTGAATTCAAACTAAAGTTAATGTGTTTTCTCTGTATAATTTATAAAACTTGGTTTAAAGGACAGAACAAGAAAAAACAAATAAAAGTAGTCATATTACATAGAGTTCGATGGCTGCCATGACATTTTATCTTATTACCTAAATAGCAATGAGGCATTATTATTTTAATGTGTTATCATTATTACTCTATACGTTAGTGCTTCACGTCCCTTCACGTCATCGTCTAACATAATTTTCATCTACGCGCATTACAAAATGGCCAAAAATTCACGCCATTTCGTATACTCAAATCATTAAACTTTATAATTAAATGTATATAATTTTAACAATAGAAAACGCTATTTACAAGAGCAATTGCGGCGAAAGTATTCATGATTCTTGGCGTGTAATTATAGAAATGTGACAAAGATAATCCCTCGCCGTCTACGATACAAGTGATTTTCTTTTCTTGAGTTCGATGTAAATTTAATTGAAGATCCAGGATAAGCAGTATAACACGTACTACATCAATTCCATTTGCAACAGACGTATCCCAATTGCCTGCGAAAGAAATTAGTTTTAAAAGTAATTTCAGAGTAATATTATCAATAATATAATATCGAAAAGTAATTATGATAACGGGTTTTCATATATCTTAAGTAGGGTTACACTTTAAATGACGGCTTTATAAGTTAACATTTACAATTTTTTTATAAAAACCCTTAGTTATTTTCTAAATTAAGCTCTTTTCTATTTTATAATAAACTGTTCTGTATACATCAATTATACAAAATAAATGCACTCTAATTGCTTATGATTTATAAGCAATATGGTCCTCCAATAGAAAACTTCTGATGCCATCTCCCTAATTGAACACAGTTTAACTGTATGGTTACTGACAATTAAAATGCTAAAAAAATTTCTGTTGTAATTCTGAAAATAATAAAAGAAAGTAAAATTCCTACTAACCAAATCGGAAAAAGTAAATATAACTTCCGTTCTGATCGGGTTTTGGCAAAAATTGCAAAATATTCATGTTTAAAACTTCTTCCATTTTCGAAGGAAGAAGATTTTTAATGTATTGCGGATAATTTACTCGTGTGTTATAATAATTCTTAAGCAACTGGAGAGAACTTGGCAAATCATATTCTGTAGCACGTAGAAATCCGAGCAGGAAAATGTCATCCATGAGACACGTAATGCGTTGGTCTTCTAATAGAAATGAAAAACATAGATATTAGTTCATTAAGTTTTCATAATTAGGCTGTGAAACAGATTAAATCATTTCCAGAAATTCCTTAAATTAATGTTACGTTATCACATATTTTTGAAAAAAAAAAAGGAAAATGTGAAAAACATGATGCTTATACTATACATGGCCACTATAGAAAGAGTAATTCACCAATCATGGAAAATAGTATCATTAATAACGAGAGCGTAACATGTAGAAATGTATTTTAAAAAGTAGTAACAGTGGAAAATATTGTAGAATAAGGAAGTAATAATATACTAGGAATTAAAACCAATCTAGTTCATTAAATAAAAACACTTTTTTATAACCTTTAATTATTTAACACATTTTATCTTTTTATACAGAAATATTTTAGCAAACATTATTACGATTTTTACGGGTACTTTACGTCTGTATTATTGTTTTATTAATAGTAGACACTAAAAAACCAGTAAGTAATTTTATGTTATACTAGCTGTCACCCGCGACTTTGTGAATTTTGCAAGCAAACCATATTTATATTAAATATTTCAACAACCATAGTAATTGTTATATAACACTGAGAATGATGAGAATTGCCGAGAATCAAACAACTTATTTTCAATTTGATCAATTTCATGGAACGTTTACAATCGTTCTATAAACGAACCAATATGCATTAACAAATTCGAATTTAAAACGATTCGAACATTTGGTTAAAAATCGAAATATATAAAAATATTTATAACAATATCTGAAAAGTTATCAATTTAAGGGAAAGTATGGGAATCAATTTCGAAAGCCTTTCTTCCGGTTAAGACTTAATGCTCTCCCTCTCCTTCCCGCAGGAGAATTTCCAAAAATTCCTTCTTAGTGTGCATTTTTATGACGTACCCTAACTGTATACCAAATTTCACCTCTTTTGGTACAGCGGTTTGTTCTGGGCGATGACGAATCAATCAGTGACTCAGTCAATCACGACAGGTTCAAAACACAGAGGATACAGGCATAATTAAAATTATTTTGTTTTGACTTTTGACTAAGATCTTTTCTATTTGCTAATCAGAAATTACACCAGCGCAAAAAGTCCTATTAACGAACAAATTTTAAGTAAACAAGGATAATAACAGTAATTTCTAAGAGAACATATAGGTATAAATGATTTAAACTTTAAATCATTTAATTGTTTTTACGTAGGATTTAAATTGAATATCAATGCCTTTCTCTTTACCATCGAAAAACACAATCAAGAGGAATGTCCTGCTACAGGTTGCGATTGAAAACTTTTGGTTAAATCACTGAATAGGAAATAAATGGGAAAAAGGAGCGTAGGATGTTATCTCCTTTTTCTAATAGAGTATGAAAATATAAATGACTATTGGAAATCCGCAGTAACGTCACCGATCCTCCGATAGGAATAGAATAGTTTAAATATAAATATAAAAATGGCGTAAGGCATTTTTTCGCAAACTTCAACGACGAGCAGTTAATATACTAATTTTAACACGGAATCAACTTTATCTCTTATCTTCTAACAATTAAAAAAAAAAAGCTCTACTTACTGAGAAGATTTTTAAAAGATTTTAAGGCATTTTCGTCCCAAGGAAATTCTTCTTTTTCTTCCTCAAATATCGAATCTTTTATTTTCATTCCACTCATTTTCGGCTATAAATTTAAAAATACAATATGTTAAATTTTTACTTAATGATCATACATATTTTTTTACTAAATAAGAATCTCTTTCAGTTATAAGGAACATATTTCGACGATAACTACACTCGCTTTCTGTTCAATAACACTTCGTGAAATATTAAATAATATACATNACTATTGTGTTGACCGACATTTAGCCTAACATTTAAATAATTACGTTAATAATAAATATATATTTAGTTCGGGTAAACAGTAATAAGACTATTCCGTTATTACGACTGAAGTTTACAGGAGAGAAGGATTCATTTGTATGTGACAACTGCTGATGCTGTGTGAGACAAGGAAAGTCTTTGATGACGTAAGATTGTGTCATCATTGCTTTTCTTTGCATATATCACAAAATTGTCGAAAATAATTCCTGTATATTTGTAAATACTTTCAAGTTCTGGCCCGATGACACAATTCGGAGGAAGCATAGTTCCTTCATTACTAACGATTAATGATACTAAGGCTAAAAAATTAGAAAAATGCTAACTTTTTTTTAATATTATACTGAAACTGCATCAATAAAAAATATGAATACACCTGTCTGAACTCGTCCTTAACATTAAATAAATAGGTAAATTAAAACACACAAATGCTTTTAAAATCGCTCCTCAGACGAAGCGGAATACGTCTGTGGAACGATTTTCTCCGTGAGGAGAGAATCCACACGTTATTCAAAGGTTTGGATATGCCATTTTAAGATATCTTACCTCAGATTAAAAACATCTGGAAACTACTGACATTTTAAAATCGAATATCCCTGTTTGTTTACAAATGTTGAACAGAATTTACACGCTCAAATTCTGCTGAGGTGTGTCTGTGCACATCTCAACAGAATTGCATAGAGTGCTTCTGAAAATTGTGTTAATTAAGATATTAATTTATATCTGATTGTTTTAATGCTTACCTTGAAGCTAAAAGTACACATTCAGCATTCGAATTTAAACATGTCTCCTTGAAAAACGAAATAACTCTTCTAATAATCAAGGAAACAGATCTATTTTTTATATTTTATTTATTTATTTTGTACACAGAAGAAAATGTTAGAGTGCAATTGATCTTCACCTACAGTTTATATAAATGAGATGATAATTTCGAATAAAACGCCACCATTTATTTATATGGAGTATTAGTTCAGTGAAATGGTAGTTGACTAACATGTTATAGAGAAGCCGTTATGTTATTAAATATATTAAGTATTTAATTAATAACAAATATCAAATCGTAAGTGTGCTTATATTTAAATCTCTATTTCAAATTTTTAGTATTTAAGCATTATTTACAAGGTAGTTTTTCCTATTTTAAATCCAATTGAAGTTTACCTTGTAGAAAAAATTTCGTTTTTTTCAAGATAAACTTCGATCGGTTTTTACGTTAGATACGGCGTAGTTCAACAATAATAAAAAATGCTTTCCAAGCATATTCTTAAACGAATGACACCGATCAATTTTATTATTATTTTTTGACGAATTGTGTTTTAAATTTATTATGAATGGTCCATATTAAGCAGTACAACACGTATTACATCAATTGCATTTGCAACAGTCGTATCCCAGTTGGCTGTGAAAGAAATTAGTTTTAAAAGTAATTCTACAGTAATATTATCAATAATATAATATCCGAATCCAGACTTTCCGTGTGTTTACATCATTACATCATAATATCACATCGTAGCTATACTTTCGTTAAATAACTGTCAACTTTTACACCTGGGAGCTAAACATCTGTTAAGTTCTCAGGCCTAATAACTACGCTTTCTCATCACTTTTCGACCTAATATCTCGATTTCAACAGTACAACATTAAAACAGAACAAGTGTGACGCAGTCGTCGCCCCATCCTCGAAGAGATTAGTCTCAAGTTCCGTATCTTTTTCCGTGTGCGTTGTTATTTTTACTGGACCATCGGACTTATTTAAGTGCCTATTCTCTGGATTAACATCAACCTACTAGCAACTCACTAAATCTCAAGGTATTTATCTCGTAGCATATTTAGAATCGATATATTTTATATCCTGTATGGCCTATAGTTACCAATTAAATAGTTGTTACGTTAACCCGTCCCTGAGTAAGTCACTTCCGGTGCGCTGTCTCTCCCTCCATCCTGAATCCGTTCGCTCACATACGCGATCGTTCGCGCGAGAACACAACGGTTTCTGTGTCTGTCCGTAAAGGCACAGTGGTGTCAGTCCTGACGAAACTTGTCATTGCGATCTTCGCCGACGCGATGTCGACCCTTCGGTCACGTGGTGCAGAAGAATAGGGAGGCACTTCGGCATTGTCACATTATCAATAATATAATATCGAAAATTAATTAATTACCTTAGTAATTTACGTAATCAAAAATTAAAGTAAGAAACTATAACAGCGTGTTTTTTAATTATAACTTCAATTGCGATCGAAGAAATGAAAAAAATAAAAATAATAAAATAAAATACAACAAAGTAAAATTCCTACTTACCAAATCGAAAAAAGTAAATATAACTTCCATTTTGATCGGGTTTTGGCAAAAATTGCAAAATATTCATGTTCACAACATCCTCCATTTTGGAAGGAAGAAGATTTTTAATGTATTGCGGATAATTTACTCTCGTCTTATAATAATTCTTAAGCAACTGGAGAGAACTTGGCAAATCATATTCTGTAGCACGTAGAAATCCGAGAAGGAAAATGTCATCCATGAGACACGTAATGCGTTGGTCGCCTAATAGGAATCAAGAACATAGATATTAGTTCATTATGTTTTCATAATTAGGCTGTGAAACAGATCGTATTATTTTCAAAATACAGTAGATCGTCGTTTATCCGAATCAATTGGGGACGGGTTGTTCGGATAACTTATTTTTCGGATAACCGATTATGTGAGAAAAATATATTAATCTATCCCGTGTTGAAATTTTTCTCCGTTGCGTGTCGCTTCGCGTTGAATTTTCGTCGATGTTAAGCCTAACGTAAAGTTTTTAAAATAATAATCGTGGCTATTGTATAGTTAATAATGATATCTTTATGTTTTACAAACGAAATAAATACATTAAAAAATATAAAAACAAATAAAAATTATACTTTAGGCCGACTGGAATTCTTTCGGAGAACTGACTTTCGGATAAACGACGCTCTACTATATTCCTTAAATCAATGTTATGTTTTCACATATTTTTCAAAAACAAAAATGTCACAAACATAGTGGTTGTACTGTACAATACATTGCTACTATAGAAAGAAAAATTCACCAATCATGCAATAATATCATTTTAGAGAACGTAAAGTGTAGAAAAATATACAAAGACTTAATAACAATAGAAAATATTATAGAATAAGAAAGTAAGAATATAATAGAAAATATAGCCAATCTATGTCAATGAGTAATGACACTTTTTTAAATCTTCAATTATTTAATAGATTTTATCATTTTATACAGGAATATTTTAGAAAACCTTATATTACGAGATTTTACTGATTCGTCTGTATTCGTCTGTATTCGTCTGTATTCGTCTGTATTCGTGTTATATTAATAGTAGACAATAAAAAAAACAGTAAGTAATTTTATTTTAAATATCATTGTCGGATACAATACTGTTGTTGTTTTTTAAAAAAAAAAACTTTTTAAGAATTGTTATAGAATATTTTAAACCTACAGAAGAAGGGCTTACAGGTCCAAAACACAGAGAGTACAGGCAAAATTAAAAGATATTTTCTTTTGACTTTTGACTGCGATCTTTTCTATTTACTAATCGAAAATTACACCAGTGCAATAAGTCATGTTAAAATACAAATTTTAAGAAGACGAGGATACTAACAGTAATTTCTAACAGAACATACAAATATAAAAGGTTTAAATCATAAATTATTTTTACATAAGATTAAAACTGAATATTAATTCTTTTCTCTTTATCGTCGACTAACATAATCAAGAAGAATGTCCTACTACATGTTGCGATTGCAAACATTTGGTTAAATCAGTGAATAGGAAATAAGTGAGAAAAAAAAAAGAACCGTACAATATTCTCTCGTTCTTCTAACAGAATATGAAAAGATAAATGACTATTTGAAATCCGCAGTAACGTGACCGATCCTCCGATAGGAATAGAATAGTTTACATATAAATTTATAGATGGCCTAAGGCATTTTTTCTCAACGTTCAACCACAAGCAGTTGATATACTAATTTTAACACGCGATCGAGTTTTTCTGTTATCTTCTGACAATTAAAAAAAAGCTCTACTTACTGATAAGATTTTTGAAAGATTTCAAGGCATTTTTGTCCCAAGAAAACTCTTCTTTTTCTTCCTCAAATATCGATTCCTTTATCTTCATTCCACTCATTTTAGTCTATCAATTTAAAAATACAATATGTTAACTTTTTACTTTATGATCATACATATTTTTTTAAATAAGAATCTCTTAATGTTATAAGGAACATATTTCATGATAACTACACCGTTTTCTGTTCAATACTCTTCGTGAAATATAAAAAAATACATGTTAAATATTCCTACATATTATTGTAATTCATAATTAATATTAACACAAGTCAAATACTTCTACTTACGTTTTCCTTTACAAAAGC